GTTTGCTGGCTGCTGTCATGTTTGTTTCAGTCAGGTTTTGGTCATTGTTATGTTTTATCTTCGGTCATGTGTTTTGTTTGATACTTTGGACTTTGTTTGTTTTGGATGTAGTTTTCTGAGTTTTAATACAATCTTTCAAGTACACCCTGCTCCTCCCTCCTGCCTGCTTTTTTTTGGGGTCCACCACCACCTCGCTATGTGACAACTACAGTACATCCAGAATGCCACCGCCCGCCTACTCACCCACACCCGCACTCGTGATCACATCACCCCCGTCCTTAAAAACCTCCACTGGCTCCCCGTTCCCCAGCGTATTCTATCTTTTCGACCTTCTTTACCAATACACTCCTTCCCGCAATCTCCGCTCCTCACACACAAACCTCCTTGCCATCCCCGTGATCAAGCTCAAAACCTGGGGGGACCGAGCCTTCTCTGTCGCCGCCCCCACCCTCTGGAACGCTCTACCACAACACATCCGCAACTGTACTGACCTCCAATCCTTCAAATCATCTCTTAAAACTCATCTGTTCCGCAATGCTTGTAACACCTTTTAATCTCTTTTACCCATTTTGCTTTTTGTTCATCTAAATGTGCTTATGTAAATTATGTATGCTTGTTGTGCACATTTTTATCCTGTGTTTTAAGCTCTTGTAAAGTGTCTTTGAGTGTGATGAAAAGCGCTTTCAAATAAAATGTATTTTTATTATTATTATTAAAAGATGTAAATATTTATAGAGACTTGTTTAACTTAGATTTCGTGACAAACGACAGGCTTTAATTTGTAATCACAAATCACCCCTCCTCCTCTCGAGTCATCACAAATAAAAATGTCGGGTTTGCTTCGGGCTCGGGCCTGCAAATCAGGTTAATTGGTCGGGCTCGGGCCGGTTCGGGCTTAAATACCAGTGGGCCGGGTCGGGTCGGGCTGGATTCTTTTGGACCGATCTTACCTCTAATCGGTGGGTGCGGGGGTGTTGGCAAAACCGGTCACTAGCTGGTGACCACCTTATGTAGTGAAGGACACAAGCAAGTTAAGCGATTTTTATATAGAGATGCTCGATATATATACACACACCCTAAACTGGTTGCCAGCCAATCGCAGGGCACACACAGACAAACAAGCATTGGCGCTCACAATCACATCTACACCATGCAAACTCCACACAGGAAGGCCGGAGCCCAGAATGGAACCACGGACCTCTGCACCGTGTCGCCAACGTGCATTTATTGTAAAACAGCAAAGAGTCAAGACGAATCTCGGGGCGCTTGCGGGGCCCTACAACAAATTTATTTTCAATTGATCTCATACCTGTGAGGTGCGTGTGTACTCTTCGTACAGGGTGTCGTACTCGCGACTCTTCTCTTGGTATTGCTCATGATAGATCTTCAGCTGCTCACCAACCTCCTCTATGCTGTTCTCCTTCACCAGCTGAACCATGTAAACACACAAGTCTAACCACTGAGAAGCATACTACAATCGGTCATTTTTATTTTCTCCATCTCATTTGCGGTGCCGTTTTCACTGAAGCCCAAGAATGCACTACTCAAGTCAACATTTGGGATTGTGAATCCAGTTAAGTATTCCCACCTATGGACTTATGTCAAACGGAAATTCCCTCACCAGGAATAAAAACCTACGCTTTAAAATTTCGACTTTGATAGTACGTTAACGATCGATTCATAACAACGGAAGTTCTGGTACCCGCAACTCTGAAGCCCTACGGAAGTCCGCAGTAGCGCCAACTCAAGGAAGTACCGCTCGATACTACGGAATAAGTGTGTCCGCGCTGCTATTTACTCTCATGGGATCCAAAACGGCGACATGTGACTCTCTTGGCATGAGTTTTACTGGAATCATGAACGATTTTTTATTTCATTAATTTACATTTGCGTCCTGTAGACTGTGGCATCCAAACAAAGAGGAACGGTAATGACTGTGGAAGAGAGAGTGGAATGCATCCGATTACCTGCTCAGAGTAAATTGTTTGTGGCTCGACGGACAGTCGAGTAAATGGACGAAACTTCCGCAAACTGGACCGCTAATTAGGGAGGAGGCGAGTTCCATAGTGCTAACTCTGTGCATCGAGGACTTCAAAGTGTACCGTGGCTGGCTTCAAAAGTTCGTTGTACGACATCAGCTGAGCAACGCTGTCTTGTGTGGTGATTGAGGGGAGGTAAAGTTAGAGAAAGTGAGTGAGTGAAACAGTGATGGCAATGGCGAGTGATGAAAAAGGTGGAAAGGGGCGTGGCCGGGACGGGGGCGTGGTTACTTACAAAAGTGGCACTAAACATGCTGAAGATGAAGTGTATTGAATTTACACACTATTTGAAACTTGAACAGAAAAAAATCCCAAGATTGCCACTATTCTTTCAAGTGAAAATTTGTGCAATTTTGCTCATGCATTCCTGGTGAGCACCAATATGTAACTCCAAATTTGCTGCTCAAAATCAAAACTAAAAAAGGAAACACATCCCCTGCCATATTTAAGATTTGTTCATGACTTGTATTCATAAAGTG